TCAAAAGTGAGTTTTTGCCATATTGTGAAATTCGATTCTCTCAAGTTATGAGGTTGTTTGAGAAGTTCTTGGACATTTTGGAAAGCTTGGAATGTGTAATACAATCCATCTTTGAAATGCAAATTGAAATTCCAAGTGGAAGTGTATGGAAAATGGTCTTGAAGTTGGGTAGAAAACCTTGTCAAAATAGGTTAAAATTTCACTAAGTTAAGAATGGTTTAGTGCCCTTATTCAAAAATTTGTAACTTGAGATACAAGCCTCAAATGGGAAAACTTTGTGAATCAAAGTTGTAGATTATGCAACAAGCTACAACTTTCATGTTTTGACTTTTGTTTGAATCCAAATGGATCTTGGTGAGAAAGTGGGGAAAAGTTGGGAAAAAATTAGGGTTTTTCATAACTTAGAAAAATTCTAAGTTATGAAAAATTCTAATTTCTAACCTTAATTTGCATTTTATGATTTCTTGATGAACAAGTTTCATGATTTGGCATGTTTTGATGAAAAATGAATCTTGACTCTTGATTTTGACCAAAAAGTCAAAGTTTGACTTTTCAGTATACAGTCAAAATTGATTAATTGACTGGGAAATTCAACTGTCAACCTTGTGCATTTGGGATCTTTTGAATTTGTTAAGCATGTCAAGACAATTCCATGGGGTCCTTGAGTCCATATGTGAGCTTGGTTTGTCATTGGCTAGGTCAAACAGTAAAAAATTGCCTTTGTGCAGTCAAAACCCTAAAAATGACCATTTTGCCCTTTTGGTGATCTGATCAAATTTCTTGTGGAATTGTCATCCAAACTTGATCAAATGGTTCATAGGAGTTTATAATGTTGATGTGGGTCAATTTTCATGAGGTTTGACTGTCAATTGGCCACAGTTGACTTTTTCCCCAATACAGTTGATTTCTAGGTCAACTGTCCAATTGACTGGGCAAAACTTGGGATCAAGACTTGAAACTTGATGAGGATAAACTTGGGAGTCCAATATGAAGCATGAAAGTCATCTTAGGCATTTTAGGTCAAAACATCTTTGTGCAAACACAAACCCTAATTTGGGTCAACAGTGCAAGGAGAAGTCTTGAGCAGATGAAACCCTAACTGGATCTTGAGCTCCAAGGGCTTTGTGATGAGAAATCAATGAGAAATGGGAGGGCAAATTTTGGGGTACAACACACTTGTATCGAAGAGTTCTAGAAATGTGCTAAAGAAAACTGCGTCGAAGGATTCAGAGTTGGGTTTGAAAGATGGTGATTCAAAGGGAACCAAAACTCCAATCGAAGCCTTTGTGTGAAGGTGGCTTATGTCCAATCAAAAGCTTGCATGCTAGGGGTTACATGTGATCAAACGAAAGAGTGTATGTAGGAGGACAAAATGTTCATATTCGAAAGAGGTAAATAGGGAACAAAAAATGCAAATCGAAAGATGTTAAAAGAGAGCCTTTTGACTTGGAAATGAAATAGATTACAAGAGGCTTTTTCCCTTGTGAATCCAAACCAAAATGTGCCAGAGGCCCATGCCCAGTCGAAGGACGCAAGCCAAGCTTGTGTTGGAAGAGGCCAAAAGGCCAATCGAAAGAGCTGAAACGAAGAACACTTGTATTTCTCCAAATTCTGTCAAAATAATATTTTTATCTGTTTTCTCCCTTTTTGACAATTTCCTTTTGATTTTGGTACTGGAAAATTCCAAAATACTTGTGCAAGCTTTAACCTTGAGAAAACTTGTGAGAAAGGCCTTGGAGAATGAGAGGGCAAATTTTGGGGTACAACACTATCCTATGTTCAAACCAACCAAACCCACCCCCCATTTGAATAAGGCTGGAAAGAATGCCCGCCAAGTTAAGATAAGGGAATGCTTCCCCCAACCATTAAAGGAAAGGCTCGACGAAGGGAGGGAGATGCGACGAGGGAAGGAAAACTCTTTAGGAGATCAAGATTTTTTTTTCCATCGAAAATCAAGAAGGCTGAGGATGGCCTACGATGCGTGTTATCTGAAGGGAACACGCTTTTTCAACCGCGATGGTATGCTTTGATTGTCGGGCCCTCTCCTTGTTCCGCCCGCAGGCCTATTGGGATAGCAACCTTCATTGACTGCCCTTTAGATATCGGCCCGGGAAAGCGCTGTCAACAACAGAAAGGAAGGGGTCCATGTAGTGCGTCTGCCCCCTTCTTAGTCAATGGGGCAGCAGGTTCGGCATCTACTAAAATAGAGAGAATCCACTTGAGATAACCACGCCTCTACTAGGCAGCGTGTGGAATGGCCAAGAGCGGATCTTTTTGGATATATAATCCAAGTGGAGAGTGGAGTTACGGGAACAGCCGTCTGATGGAAAACTACTTTCACGTTCGGTTCAGAGAGCACTTTATTTTTCGTCGAGAATTCTTCGTTCCCTTTCGTGTTAATTCCCCAGCGACGAATTCAACACTTTTTGGGCCCTATCTATTCCATCTCTCAAGCCCCGAAGAAAAACCCCCTCCCCTTCGGACTCCATATCTCTTTTGACTCTATATATATGGGCACCTAATATCTATGAGGGTTCACCCACCCCAGTTACAACATTGATTTCTAATGCGCCAAAAATTTCTATTTTTGCTAATATTTCACGTGTTTCTATTTATGGTTCCTATGGAGCTACATTGCAACAAATCTTCTGTTTTTGCAGCATTGCTTCTATGATTTTAGGAGCGCTGGCCACCATGGCCCAAACGAAAGTAAAAAGATCTCTAGCTCATAGTTCAATTGGACATGTAGGTTATATTCGTACTGGGTTCTTATGTGGAACCATAGAAGGAATTCAATCACTACTAATTGGTATCTTTATTTATGCATTAATGACGATAGATGCATTCGCCATAGTTTTAGCATTACGGCAAACTCCTGTCAAATATATAGCAGATTTGGGCGCTCTAGCCAAAACGAATCCTATTTCGGCTATAACCTTCTCCATTACTATGTTCTCATATGTAGGAATACCCCCGTTAGCCGGATTTTATAGCAAATTCTATTTGTTCTTTGCCGCTTTGGGTTGTGGGGCTTACTTCCTAGCCCTAGTGGGAGTAGTGACTAGCGTTATAGGTTGTTGAGCGGCCGGAAGGTTGCCACGAGTAAGTCAGTTTGGGGGACTGAAGGCAGTTCTCCGTGCACCGGACACGTAGCTTACCGAATCAGTTGCGGCACCAATGGGAGTGCATGCTACGAAAGATAGGGTCGAGTCTGAAACATCAACCGTCTACTCAATATCCTTGTACGAGTCCACAATCACTACATGAGATGAACCTTGGTTTGGTGAATTGAAGTTTGCCTTAGGTGTAAAAAAAAGGACTCCCAGTTACTGCGCGCGATCGTATACTGAGGTGCTCCCCGCCGGTTGTTGGAACGACGCGAGCCGGTTCTCCATTCAGAAAGATGAAGGGTCCAAACAAAAGTAAAAATAGGGGGTTACAAATTACCCATCTCATTGGGGGCGGAAAACGAATCGACATCTCGATGTGATACAACCTTTTCTATTTTTGTTGGGAAAGAACGACGAAGTCCATCCGAATCGTCCAATGAGGAATAAGAGGAGAGCAAAGCGCCAATGGCGTGCGAAGCGCATGCGAAAGGGGCACGGAGATGAAAAATAAGTGTGGAGGATAAGCAGCCGAGCTCATTCCCTTCACTTCCTGGGCCCAAAGCAGTGCAGTCTTTCCTGGCCAAATCAAAGATTTGGGGCTTCTTGCTACGCTACTTAAATAAATCCATTTTTTAGTTATATATATATATATATATATATATATATATATATATATATATATATATATATATATATAAATAGAAAGATAGATCCATCCATCTATCCTATCCTATTTTTATTTTTATATCTAAAAAAGAATCGATTTCATTCAACGTTTGATTCAAAGAACTGCGCTTAGCCCCCCTCCCCCCCGCTCATGAAACGGCTCTGCTGCAATGGATGGTAGAGGGTCCGTAGTACCCAAAGAACTGGAGTGGTTCAGTAGCCGGGAAGGGGCATAGAAGTGCCAACTACTACACCACACTACACTCAGCTCTACACATTTACAGAGCTAACCCATGTCCAGTCCTTGGCAAAGTTAAGGGGGCTTCCATCCTTATTCCCTATCCCCTCGCCCAGGCTAACGGGGCCTTACTTATTCGGGGGGGGGGAGAGTGGATCCCCGAGAAGCACTGTTGAGAGGAAGATCCTTGGCCCCTCCTCATTCCCTAAAGGGTTCCAAACTTTTCTTCAACATAGGTGACAACGAGCGGGGCAGAGATGGAAGAGATTGAACACGAGAATAAGAAGCAAGCTCACCTTCCTTTTTTATCATTTTGATAGATAGGGATGGAGAAAGTGGACAAAACAGACTCACATTTCCCAGTCGAAAAGATGGGTTCCTTTTTCATCTTGCATTTCTCATCACAGAAAAAGAATAATATTGAAAACGTTCCCAACCCACCAATCCTTTCCTTCGTAAAGCCGTGTATTGTAATCCGAACCCGCCCAGAGCGAGTCTCTCATAGAGGCAAGTGAAGTTGGTGAGCTGTATGATGGGAAACTATCTCCCGCGGTTCAGAGAGGACTCAGCTGTTAGTTAGTACCCCCTTTCAGGGTGGACCTTTCACTCTATTTTATTATATACGCTTAGAAAAAAGAATGTTTTTTGATACACCTAGGACATGGATTTTATATGAACCAATGGATCGTGACAAGTCGTTACTACTAGCAATGACTTCGTCTTTCATTACTTCATCCTTTCCATATCCCTCTCTCTTGTTCTCAGTTACTCATCAAATGGAACTCAGTTCATATCTTTAAGTTCGATCATTGACAAGGTTCAAAGAAAGGGTGGGCCATAGTGTCTATATGGGAACCAACCGTAAACTCCTTTTCTGGTGTAGATCCCCTCCCTTATGAATAAGTTCCCCGGGTACAAGGAATGAGTGCTCCTAATGTCTTTTCGGTGTAGATCGTCTCTTTGAGACCTTTTCAAGTCTCTTCGGTATGGATTCGGTGCAGGGATTCCTGCTTGTGCTCTTTCTTTGTGGCATTATCGGGTTTAAAGACCAGGCACTCTATATGTGTTTCGGTATTGATCTGAGCACTCGTGTAACTACTAATAAAGCTCGAGGGGCCTTTCTTTCAGATACTGGTTTGACTTATCTTGGTCAGGTCTAAGGGTAAGCCCTTTTCTTACTCTTTAACTCCCTTCCTTTTTTCTATCGGAGTGCAAACCGGGGTTGTGAGCGAGCAATGAATCAGGCATTGGTCGTTCCAGCGGTAGAGTCCTTCGGATGTTGAATGGTCTCGTTCTGTTCCTGTGTATAAAGGAAGTAACCCGTGGGTATCTTCTATTTATTAACAAACTGGGAATCAGAGCTCTTCCAGATCTTCGGTAACTGGAGCATCCATGAAAGCGAGGTTTCTCCTGCAGCTTTACCTTTTTTACCCCTCTCTTTTTCCTTATCGCCTTATCCGGCATTTCATAAACTATTAATAGAATAAAGTTCCCATAATCTTCAGGAATGACGAAAGCCTTTCTCTTTGGGGACCGGTGTTTGCTATAGTAATGTATGGCACTCACTCTGGAAAGTAGGAAGCCTGTCTTCTTCTATACTATAGTTCGTCTGTAAGGGAAATGAAAGGGATGATTCACTGACTGGTCTTCCAGAGCGTCTCTTTCCTTGTGATAATTCTTTCTTATAGGCTATTTAATACCTTGTGCTGAAGTGGATCATGGAGTCTTTCTCTTTAGTCAATCGTCTTCTTCGGTCATAGTAGTGCTAAGCCCAGAGGCTTTAACTGCAAGGCATCCCTAAGATTCTATCTTGCTTGAAAGGATTTTCCTCTCGACAGAAGGGTTGTGGTTTCTAAGTCGAGGCATTTCATCATTCACTGGTAGTGAGAGCTGAGCTTCCCTTTGTTCTTTGGTCCCAGGGCAAAGCCTACCTAAATAAATTCCCTTGCGCCAACAGGTAGGGTGTCATGTGGAGATGTTGGACCAGTCCAATCGGTAAAGGTAGAATTAGTTTCCACATTATCAGCCAAGCTACTGGGAATGAAATGAGAGCTCCTCACTCGTTCTCTTTCTGTGATTTGGTCCTATTTGAGACTACTAAGGCACAAGTGAAGCTTCTGGAATGTCTTTCTTTCTCGTCAAACCGGCAGGAAGCATTTCATCCTGTCAAAATATCTTCTTTTTGGATCCTTGTTATATCGATTGTGCGAAGTTGGTATATCTCAATGCGGTGAAACTTCATCTGTGGTCTTCTAGTCGCTTTGTTAAAGGCCACCGCCCTTTTGTCGTAGTTCTCCAGTAACTTCGGCAGTGGTAGTGAGTCAACTCCTTCTTCTTCATCTCATAAGGTCCAAGGGCCTCTTTCTTTCCTATGTATCTTTTTAAGAAGATCAGACCTCCCTAGCGGGAAGCCTTAATTGACTAACTGGGAAGGTCTCTCGAGGGCCTCTTCTTCCTGGCTCATAACCCCTGGGATTCTCGTATAGCGAAGTAGTCTTTGTCTCAGCTGTCTCGATATTTATTTCATGTACTGAGGCTTCTACTAATGCTTTTTTAGTAGACTATGGGTCTTAGCAGTCATTTATGTTATCGAATCTTAGCTCTCTGGATCCTCTAAACTGCCATCTTCTACTAAGAATAATGGACACCCCCTTTCCTAGATGACCTTTAAAAAAGGAGTTAATTCGGCTCATCTACAGAAGGTGGAGCATGCTTTCCTAAATCTCTAAAGCGTAAGGAATCGCTCAAGCGGGCTAGCCTGATGACAACTAATTAAGAAGTCAGTCTGTATCGATGCCAGCAGGTTCTCGTCCTTTCACCCTGCACACAACTACCAGTCTGGAAGTCGCATTTCAATTAACGAATTGCAGCTTAAAAGACTAAGCAGTCGCTACTCCCTGCTATGAGAACTAGGTTGATTCTGACCCTACTGTCGAAGATTCCAGGGACTTATCCTTCAACAGGAATGGAATCTCCGACTGATGTTATGATGACCGGAACAACTTCTACTACAACTAAGTGGATCGTAAGACTGAAAGAAAGAGGAAGCTTACTTACCTCTTAGAATAACCAGATATCAAGTAAACTAAAGCATCTGTCATATGCTGTAATCGAATCCGTAAAATATCTTTCATAAGATAGTTTCTCACATAAATGAGTCCTCCCCTTTCTGCACTTGTTGCCTAGCCTTCGGGAATGAAAGTCAGTGCCCCTGGTTTATAAGGAGCTGCTTCCTAACCGCTTTCCAACATCATCTTTCCAAAGCAAAGGTAAACGACTAACTAAGCAAAGCACTAGGTACGGTCAGCCTTAGACAAGCCAATCATTCAGACCTTTATCTATATTAACTATTTATTTAGTCCTATTGAGTAAGGGAAGGGGTCGGTAGGCTCTCAATCTCAATATGAGGAACTTAACTAGAGCTTAGGAGGAAGCCAGCCGCTTAAGAGAACTTCACTCCTCTCTTTACAATCGAGATCTTCAAACCTCTCCTTTAGTAGATCCCTCTCTCGCTGCTACTGAGCTAGATGCCTCACTCTCTTCCTGTTGAGGTGGGAAACCCCTTGGTTGTCAATCAATTTAGTTTGAAACCCCTGTTCGAGCTTCTTCTGTGGATTCCCGGTTGATTCTCTGGTATCTGGTCTTGCAACTTCTCTTACTGCTCTTCTCTTTTCCACTCAGAAGTTGGTATGAAATTAGGGAAACAAAGAAGAAGAAGGTAGGACGCTAACCTTGCTTTCTATAATGGTCAGAGTGGCAATGTGCCCCTTCCTTGTTGGGTTACACCCTTCCTTTGTCAACACACCTCTAAAATAGGGTAGGGAAGGAATTCACCTTTGGGCGAGTTATCCTACAAGACTGTGATGAAAGAGGGAAACAACTGCTTAGTTGAGTATCTCTGCACCTCTGCTTGAAGAAGATGCCCTTGCTACTTCATCTATTGAAATAGACATCTTGCAAAAACTTGCATCTCCAACTATGAACTCCTACTCTAGTTACTACTTTATGCCTTCTTCTCTTACTTAACGCAATTTAAATAGTTAATGAAGGGAGTTCTTCACTCAGAAGAATCAGACTCATACTAAGCTTCATTGCCTATCCATTTAGTCGGTCTCGTACCTAAGTGTATATCCCTTCTTCGTTTGCGTAACACTCTTGATCTTGAAACCAGAGAATAAGCTGACCCCTTGCTCAAGTCAGTACCCAGATAAATCCATATAGCCTCTATAAGAGGAGATTTTAGATTCCTATCCCCTCTCTTCTATTAAGACACTCGTAACCGCTAATGCTACAGCTCCCCTCACTAGTAGCTGCAGATAAGCGATAGCCTATTTACCATCCTCAACTCAATCTTTCACAGCTTCCTCAGTGTAGAATAGAGCAAGCCAAGCCTCGATCCAAGAGGATAGTAGTACTTCATGCGGGGATACCTCTGCTAGATTGTGGAAGGGAGATTGGCTTTCAAACTATGTTCTAGTTCATATCGTGTAAAAGAACAGGACTTTCCTCATTTCTCTTTCTGGAATTTACCATTCTGGCTTCTGGATGGGGTGAAGGTGGAAGAGATAAGTGGGAGGGGTGGCGAAGTTGGAAATCAGATCAAATAAGCGAGACCTCATCCGAGGGGAAATGATTTAACTAAAGATCCCTTTATTAGATCAAGTCACTATCGAGATGGCTATCAGGTATAGGATTTCATCCAGCCGGCACAAACCCGGAGACATAGGAAGGTTTAACGACTTGCCCTTTTAAATTTTTCTTTCTATTAGGCTATATATGGCCTTCTAATGCGTCTTCTTGTCCTCATGTGTAGAATCCTTCCGAAAGGTTGTTTTTATCGCTGGGAATCTGCGTCTCGTGTAAGGTACAAATTTAGTCGAGTTAAAGGATAAAGGGAACGACTTAGCGAATTAAATGGAAAGTTAGAGTAGAGGGAGAGTGAGAAGGTCATTCAAAAGATCAAGATAGGCATCTTTTCCGGTTGAAGGCCTTTCTCTTCTCCTCCTGGGATTCCATTAAGGGAGTTCAGCCGAGAGATAAGCTGTTCTTGCGTCAGCCTTTAGCTCTGCAGTATAATTAGCTTAGCAGTGGGAAGAGTCTATTCTATAGAGAAGCCTTAGGCCAAGGAAACTACCATGCCAATCTCCAATACTTTAACTTGAAGTTCCTCTTCTCGTTGAGCTTTTAAATGATGTCAGAAGGGTGCTTGCAAGCCTTGCAAACACAGAAGACTAATGGAGGATCGCCCATCCCATCGACTATCTCTCCTCCACTCCCAGAGTCTACCTCCGCTACAAAGCCGCCTTCTTCCTTTTACTAGCCTTCATTGATATCGTATGCGGGTTATCGGAATCAGAAAGATCATATATTCAATGACTTGATCCATGAACGGAACCTTTGGCTTACCCGGAATGGACCATTATCCAATGCATATTGATTGAGAATCTGTGTAGGATCGCGAACCTTCTCTTACGTGGGACACGGAGATGGAAGAATGGTAGGCCAGTCTTAACAAAAATGGGCTTTCAGACTTAGCCAAGGAACGTCATGACAGATAAGCAGGGACCTCGAACATGAGAAAGACTGATTAAGGAAGGGACAGACCTCGTCAACGGAGTTTGATTATGAGCTTTCTTTCAGAAGGGGAAGACTTTCTTTAAGGTTGATGAGTCAGACCCAGACAAAAAATGACAGTAGTGTCCGAGGGTCTCTACAGAGTCTAATATTCTAACATAGCATTGTTACAGTTTTGGTTACTTTCTTTACTTGAAGTGAAGTCCCAGAGTGAAAGTTAACTAAACTCTAAAGGGAAAGCAAGAACGGTTAAGTAGATTGTAATTCCGTTGAGGACTTACCCAAAACAGTCTAATATTTTGATTGGGGCTTATCTTTCATATTTACTAGACTTCACACCAAAGTTAAAATATTCTTAATTAAAAGTTAATATCACGTCTTTAGCGTATCCCATACCCATAGCCGTTGCCCTTCTTTTGGTACAGTGTAAGAGTCCCGGGCTGAATTTCCTTGTTGGTTGAGTTATGTTATCTCCTTCTTAAGGATCGGGAAGTCTTTGACTAAGTTCCTCCGTATATGAAACATTCGTCTAGTCGTATTCATCCTCGTGTAACAGGCTCCTACCACGAAGTGAATCACTCCTCCTTTCGGTTTTTGCGTTCCATCTGTCGACTAAAGGTCCATTGCATTCCTAAAGTGAATATTGGAATCTTCCTTCATCTTTGATGTAAAATAGCGCTTAGTCATATCAGGGGCAATCTTCTATTAAATTACCTTTTTCGCTAGGGGTATGGAAAAAGATCCGTAAATTCCCCCGCTTTCAGAGATTCCAACTCCTAAAGGAAGAAGTCCCCCTTCTCAGTATTAGAATAAGGGACTAACAGAAAACCTGTTCTTCACTATACGAAAAAAGGGGATTGGACTACTTAAGACTGGAAGGTTGGCAAAGGAAATGGCCATTCTTCAAGGTTAAGCTACCTTACCTTAGCCGGCTAAGCAAGTGAGACGGGTAGACCACTCTATAAGATAGACGCGCTCAACGAAGAAAGATCAAATAAGTCCTTGATGCTACTTCAGCTCCATTCTCAAACAAAAGAAAATCCAACTTCGACGACTTAGACAAAGGGGGTCCACCAGCAGATTATCCATGTGTAAATCTAAATGTGGTCCAGTTCGAGCATATCCTCTTTCATATCCATATCTCGTAGATTCTGATTCTTCGATTACATACCTATTAGCAGTAGCAGATCCTGTTCCCACTCGAGAGCTTGTAGTTGTGGATCCTCCAGATCTCTAGGATAGAGTTGATCCCACGGACGCAGAGCCAATTCACTAAGAAAATGACCCATTTAAAGAACCGCCCCATAAGTTGAAACTCTTTATCCAGTCAATGAAGATACCGAAACGAAGTCCCTAGTTCACAAGCCTGTTCCATATCTAGCCTGGGTTGAACCGGAAGCACACGTCCTGGTATACAGGCCAGTCTCGAGCCACCAAGATAGCCCTCCACATATCCAGTTCCTCCCTTGAGTGGTAACTCTTTGCTAACCCGAGCAGCCTGAACCATACAAAGACTCGAGGTGACTAGCCTTAGATAACAACAGAGGTATTCTCTTTGCACTTGCTCCAGACTATCTTGCTTGGATTACTTCGGTGAGGGGGTTATGCCAGAGGAACAACAATCAATTCACAGGGTCAAAAAAGTACCTTTACACCTACCCTTTTTTTTAGTATGACTAGACCCAATAGATTGTATAACTATACCCAGAACTTGTTGTCTACCCAGGGATATGCCATTTACAGGGAATAAGAAAGGAGATATTCAGATATTTTGACTTCTTAAGCCAATCCTAGTACTGGTCTTACTTATTACTGCTATAAATAAAATATTCTAACGGGTAAAATGATTAGCTCTTAGACCTGTTCAAACTATGTGACAGGGTAGGACTACTATTGTTATAAATGATAGGCCTTTCACTTCTTTTCTTGGTAGCTCAGTCTTTTATAATATGCTATAGATTATCAATACATCTTTCCTTTGCACTGAAAGCTGGCTAGCCTCAAATCTCTACTTGAACTACTGAAATGGGATCTAGCCTTTGGGCTTAGTTCTGAGTTCTGCCTTCTAGTTCTTTTTCTTGATGACCCTTGTTCATGCCCGTGGTGAGCAGTGGTCTCAAGGCTGTTTATAGCCACCTAGAACACGATTCGCCTTCGGAATAATAAATAAACAAACCTTCACACCAGAAGACCTATATTGGTTTGAGAGGCGTATAGGTCATGTCTTACCATCCAACTACTAGGTATTCAACTGGTAACTGGTCGCTTAGGTTGCTCCCTTGAGGGCGCTGGCAAGCGCTGGATATTTTCTATTTCCAACTACATGAATCAGCGATTTCTTAAGCCTGTCCACCAAGGGTTTGCGGAGGTTTGACGCCGCCTGCCAATGGATGGTACGTTTAACCAAACAAAACCGCTTTTTCTTTCGTCTAATTATTCCTAGTTTCGACTATTTCAGCTTTGACCTTAAGTCGGCCACATAAATAACAAAATAAAGCCGAGGTTGAAAGGAAAAACTATTCGGGGATGAAGTTGCTTGCACATTGCTCCCAAACTCACACAGCTAGGTTTTGAGAGGGCTCTATCGATCTCCGGAACAGGGGAAGAAAGGGGGGGAAGGAATTTGATTCTTTACAGCCCTTTCCAGACCTTATATTATTTCCTTTGGTTGGGTTCGCTTTTTGGTAGGAAAGGCAGTGGTAGAGTTCCTAGAGGTCCTTCGTGTAATTCTACTCTTTGTTTTCCAGGCAGGGACGCCCATAGTTCCCTGCTCTAACTCCTCAGATTTCCCTTTGCTTTCTTTATTACTTATCGCACGTGCCCAGTCTCAACGTCACTTCCCAAACCTAAACCGCCTTTCCCAGATCTATGAAAGGCGAAACATTGAAGGTCCACAACAGGTAACATAAATGAACAAGTTTATTTTGTATTCAAGCTGTTGAGGGCCGGAGCTCGTATGGATACTGTGATGCGGTTGGAGAATTGACTTGAGGTTTTGCGTTTGTGTTCGCAAATGTCGCCGTTAGCAAGAGTCGCCATCGACTTTTATTTTATCCAAAAGGAAAGGTAAAAAAGCACAGGAAAGACCTTTGAGATGTTTTCTTGAGTTCGGGGGGTAGATTATGAAAAGGGAAGGTGCTAGCACCCTTTTCATCCATGGTTTTCCATGGGCTCTTAGTTACTTGTTTAGATCACTTGCTTTGCTTTTTCAATTGTTTGAAATGGTGCTTTGTGTGGTTTTGAAAGTATTTTGAAAAGAGGCCTTTGTTTAGGCAATCTTTGTAATGATTCTTGTTCGTAAGAATGTATACAAAGATGTTTGTCTTTTGAAAAATGTTTCAATGTTTTTTTGAAAGTTGTTTGGAAATTGTTTTTGAAATGTGTGTGTGTTTGTTTGAAAATAGCAAGGATTGTTAAAAGAGATCAAGTAACTAGGAGCTATCTACCCCATTCAAAAGTCTTTCTTGTACATTTTTATTCCTTTGACATTGTTGACCTACTATTGTTTTAATAGACAACCCTATCTTTGGATGTTAAACGGGACGGGCGTGGGTCATCGTATGACCATGATTGCAATTGTGCCAAGTATCTTAGCAAGTTTGAGGGACCAAGATCATTTTTTTAGGAAACCTTTTTGATAGCGTCATCGAGGGACTATGATCTTATTTGTTTGTTTTGTTTTGCCAAGATACCTAGCATGCACACCATGGCCATTTTTTAGGCAACAAAGTGGGTGAAACCCTAGAGGTGCTTGTGTGCAATGTGTTATCATTTTACATGCATTTTTGTCTTGCATTAGGTCATGCTAATTGTTTGATTTTTTGTCTTATCATACAAAACCCTAGTTTTTACTAAACATGGATATAATGCGATAAATTGCGTAAAGTAAATCTAAACTATTACAACAATATTATGGGAGGGGGATACAAGTTTTGAATGGGGGATATTGCTCAAAATAAAACCCTAATTTTACTATTACAACCCAATTGAACTTTTGTACAATAAATAAATAAGCAATTATTTAAATATGCAATAATATGTATTTATGCAAAAATATTTTGTAATTGTTTTATGTATGAGAAAAATAAATTATTTAAGTCCTAAAAATAAGAAAAAAAATAATATTATTATTTTTGAAAGGGGAAACCCTAATTTTGTTTTAAAGGAATATATGTTTT